CACTTGACTGCTCCTATCCCCGTCCTTAAACGAATGCATGGATCGTTAAGCAGGGTGTGGGGTGGTAGCCCTTGAAGGACTAAGACAGTCCCATGCCCAGTATCTCAAAAAGCAAGGGACAGGATTTTCACCTGTAGTCGTCACAATCAGGTTTTTCGGGGAAGGTGTTCCTAACCTCAAAAGTTCTCTGGTCCTATCACCCTGTCAAACTACCAAATAGGGCTGTTTCACTATCATCCTTCTCTTTTCTACTACCTATTCCTTACCTTCTTATGACTATAATGTTGCTTGTATCTTACCATTTATATTGTTTTATTTCATAACCTAGTATGATTTATGTTGATTGTTTATTTAGTAACCTGTGACTATCACTGAGTGCTGTGTCACGATTGAAGATGAATGCATTTTATGATTATAATCATGAGTGATCACTTGTTGCCTGTATGTACAATGAGAGCTTCTGCACCGGAGACAAATTCCTTTTGTCACACTTGGCTAGTAAAGAATTTTAGACTGTGGATAAAAGAAATTACAAGTATTCAATTAGAATTCAAGCCTGAAATATTTTTGTTGGGAATGTTAAAAGGGGACTATGCAAATGAAATGAAATATTTAATTCTCCATATTATCACAGCGGGAGGAATGGCATTGGCACAATGTCGGAAGGGCGAACAAATGCCAACAAATAATTTGATTACTCAGAAAATACTTGACTGCGCTGAAATGGACCTACTCACACAAAAATTTAGGAATAAGGAAGACTCAAGATATATTACAGCTTGGGATAAACTGTATAAGTGGATTAAAGAGGAAAAAACAGGAAATTAAAAGATATGTTTTTGATGAATAGAGTAGTTAAATTAAGAATGTTTACCAAATAAGAAATGAATAGTAGTAAAATTATCACCAAGAAAAAAGCACAGTCTTAGTTGATTAGAAGCATATATTTTATATGTTTATTATGTATTTGTGTGTATAGATTTTGTCTACAACGTAAAGTTGTATTTGATGTACTGTACATAGTATTTTTCTTTTTTTATCTCTAATAAAGTTTTCTTTTAAAATAAAAAGAATTTTAATTCTAATAATTATAATTCATCAACAATGCAGGTATTCACAATACCTGGTGATTCCTAGTTCTCCAGAGAGCAGGACCAAAAATATAATCTAATTCTTGGTTTGTGCATGGATGAAGGGATGTATCCTGCAAGGATGAAATGATGAGCTTCATCACTGGAAGCTTTCAAGAAGAGATTGGACTGCCATTTGTCAGAAATGGTATAGGCTTTCCTGCTTGGGCAGGGGGTTGGACTAGATGACCTAAAAGGTCCGTTCCAACTCTGTTCATCTGAAGTGGGGCGGGGGAAATTTTCTAAGAACTTTGCAAACTGTCAATTCCCTTATTTTCTTTCCTATGCTTTTGTTTCTGGCATTATGGCTTTGAAAATCCACTGGAGGGCAGAATAGCTCCACCAAAACTATCTTTTTAAGCAACAGAGGTCTCCAAAGTTGGCAACTTTGAGACTTACAGACTTCAGCTCCATAGAGTTGAAGTCCACAAGTCTTAAAGTTGCCAAGTTTGGGGACCCACCGGCTGAAAACTTACGTTCAGATATTTCGGGGTTAGGGTTTTTATTGAATATATATTCATTTACTCCATCTGTGCTTAAGTCCTTTCACACTTTGGAGGGATGGGAGGGGTGTTATTATCCACATTTGCACAATGGATAGACATTCAGCCCAACTGCTAAAGGCTAGAATGGACAGGGATGGATGGAAACTGATGGAGAGATTCAGTCTAGAAATGAGGAATTTTGGCTCTTCAGCTTTGTAACGGAGATTAGCAACTGCCCTCTAGAGCCGGATATATCTAATCTATATCTCTGTGTGTGTGTAGACACACACACACACACCTCTCAAGATTAGCTACAGGAGGAACAAAAAGAGAACTTGAGCTAGAACCAAGAGGGGAGAGGTGGCCCAGCAAGCCAGTCCGAAACCTGAGCGGAGCCAATGGGGTGCAAACAGAGGCCACTGAGCAACAGGTAAAAGGAGAAGGTTCCTATCAGTGAGGAGAGTTAACCAGTGGAAGAGCTTTGCCTCCAGAGGTTCTGGGTGCTGCTTCACTGGGGATTTTTGGAAAGAATCTGCACAGCCACACAGGGTCTCTTGCTTTCTCCCCAGGCGCCTTAATCGCTGGACCCAACTGGCTCCTCTTCATAAACCATCAACTCTTCTTTTCTACTTTTTCTACTGTATACAATGAACCCGATTCTGTGTTCTGGATTCACTCTTTTCATTAAGGGAAATCTCTTTGCTACAATATTCTAATAAATGGCCTTTACACGGTCATCCCACTCAGATCCTAATTGAAGCCGTGTGGGGCTGAATCTAGGGCTAATTTGGCTTTTATTGTTGTGGGTGTGAAGGAGCTTCTCCCTGTCATTATTCGAGACGATCTGTATGGGTTTTCCAAATGTCCATACCGTCCCCAGATGTCTGAAACTCTTGTCAATTGACTTCCCTCGTCTTCCAGCAGAAACCGCTACAAGAGATTCTCTAAGGCCAGCGAAGCTCTGCGAGATACGAGCCACATTCTAAAAAGGCCTCTACCCTTTTAGCCTTAAACACCTGGCTTTTCCCCAGGTGCTGGGAGATCAGAGAATGAAAAGTGGGCATGGATTGGTGTTGTGCCTCCGAGGTTTGAACCAGGTCAGTCAGCAGATGTAGGCTCGAGTGATGAAGAAGATCTGGCATTGAGATTTGAGCCTGCATTACTGAGCGACGTTGAGAGGAGTCTGGGGGGGAGGAGGAGGAGTTGAATCTGAGAGATGAGCCTGATTTATTAGAAGTTTCAGAGGCGTCTAGCTCTTCTGGAACTCCCTCTCTGATTGCACCTCAGGTGTTAACTGTTAATCAGGAAAGTGTGCCAGAGGCTTCAAGCGATGAAACTGCCGGATGCTGGCTTGATGCTAGGACTAGGAGAAGATTGAGACGTCAATCTCAATTAGAAAAGAGACGTCCAGCCAAGGATTAATTAAAGAGACTGACACGCCCCTTCAGGGGATATATAAGGAGCATGTTAATGGCTCTCCCCCGCTTGAAGCAAAGTGGATTTTTGGTGCGAAAGAATTGCGTATGGCGTTGTGATTTATGGACAGTTCAGACTTGCCAGACGGATTCCAGGAAGACCGCCAAGGACTGTGAAAACAAAAGCAGTTAACTCTTTTGGGTCTGGTTTTGTTTGCTTGAATATTTGAACTTTGGATTCTCACCTGTGGATACAGGTGAGACAGAACAGATTGGTGCCTGGTTTTTGTTTCTATTTTCAGTGTTCTGTGCTTTAATGGGTTGGATAGTTTTTAAAACGGCTTTTGGGGAGTTGCAGTGAGATGACTGAGTTATAACCATGTTTTAAATGAATTAAGACTCATTAGGGACCTGTTTGGTCTCCCACAAGGTACAGAGATGAGGTCTTTCCCAGTTGTCAGGATAGTGAACATCCCCCATTGCTATGATTTCTGTTCATCAGCTAAATGATGTTAATCAGCAAAAGGTTAAAACTCGATTTCATTCAGGGTTACATCAGGGTTGTTTTTGACCCAGGGGAATGGGGGCGCAGGTGGGTGTTTCTGGGGTAGGCGTGGCCAGCTCGTCAGTCCTATTGGGGGCGCACCTGTAGTGGCCAAGCGCTAAGGCAGGACTTCCCTCTCAGACCCTCCCTCATAATTTTCCTTTCTTCTTTTTCCTTCCCCTTTTCTTTTTCCTTCTCTTTCCTTCTTCCTTCCTCTCTTTTGTTATTTTTCCTCCCTTGTTCTCTTCTCATCTTTCCTTCTTTGTCCTTCCTTTCCCTTTCTCCTTTCCTGTCCTGTCCTTGGATGCTCAAATGCAAAAGGGGAAATATTTCTTTCGCTTTTAAGTTTGTTTTGCTAACCCTTTGCCAGCAAAAACGGACCTCACTTTTTTGCTGGCAGAGGACTGCAGGCAGCTGTCAGGGCTGAAAACTGGCCGGTAGAGCTGCCTGTGTCCCTCCTGAGCTGTTTTCGCTGGCAGAGGCCCTGTGGGCTAGTCCTTTGCTATTTCTAGGGTGGCCCCGTGGGCCAGATCTTGAGTTTTGACACCCCTGATCTAGTTCCTGTGATTGGGTGGTCCATAGTATACCCCTATGGCAACATCATTCGGTTTTCATATTAACCCAGATGCATTCAAGGTGGTTTTATTTTTTTATTTTTTGCATTTCTACAAAGGTGTAGCTGTTTAGTGAAACTCCACCTCCTCTTTTATGAGGCCTGTTTTGAAAAATTTAAATCCTGGGTTTCATCCCACGTTTCAGTAATGGCAACAACGGCATCTTTGCTCTCATGTAAGGACTTCAGGTTCACCCTCTAATTTATTCTTCATACTTTGGGTATTAATGTGTCGGTATCTCATCCTTTTTTTTATTGTCCTTGCATTTCCTTCCTAGATCTGCATTCGTCCTGGACAGTGGAGAAAAATGATTTCCAAAGAACTTTGTTCACAAAAACTTTATTCAACAACTTTATTTTCTCCCTCTCCTCCAAGATTTCTGTACTTTCCACTTAATTTGGCAGCTCTTCGGCTTTTCAGAGGGAAGGGAGAGAATTAAAACTTCTTGCTTCCTTTCCCCACCTGCCCTTTGAACAAATCACAAGAGACGCACTTCGAAAATAATAAATTAGCGATACATTCAAGGCCAAGATGATCCCTGCAGCAACCTTTTCTCTTCTGGTCTGCCCCAGCCTGGCGAAAGGGATGGGCCTGGCAGCAGAGAACTGTGGGGCTCTGGAGGCCCTTTCTGTGGCACGAAGCAGAAGATAGGGATATTTGCCCCAACCGCCAGCATACCTCCCTCACTGCCCAAGGACCCTGAGGAGAAAGGCTTTCCGGTCGTGGCTATGACCAGAAAGGGGATTTGGGATCCCTTGAACCCTCGGAGACAGGGCACCTTCTCTACCACTGGGCATTTTGTAGGATTCAGTTAATGTAGCTGGACAGTCGACAGACGGGATGGAGAAAGGGAAACAAAGCCAGCCCTTCACTGTAGCGGCCAGGATTTCTGAGCTGCCGCAGTTGGGTTCCCATGACCACAAGCGATGCGTTTCTCCTCCCTCCCTCTTCCATCAAGAGCTCAAACCCTTTTGCTCAAGGAATGGTTTGCACGAAGGGCCTTTTTCCTCCCTATGGCGGGAGGCTCCACCATAGATTGGTTGGGGGAAAAGGAACCCATTAAGCACGGCCGGCTGGGTTCACAGACTTACGCACATGGCCTGGCCTGATTCCCACTGAGGCCTTTGGACCTCACACAACACTGGGCAACCGCCTCCTTGATCTGGTCCGGGTCTAGGACCGTTGGGTCATCAGGATCTCCCTTCTCAACAGGGACCTCTTCTGTGGTCTTGGTCTGCGGTTCAGGCAGACTAGAAACACACACTGGAGACCTGGGCGGTTCTTGGCAAGTTGTCCAATCTTTCTGGGATGTTCAAAAGGCAAAAGAATCGGGAGTTGCGGAGCACCTATCCCAACTAACATGCTCTATGAAAAGGACGGTGCTTTGAGGAGCTGCAGCATGCAATCAACTCCTGATTTTTTTTTGTGGGGGCCACCATAGAATATCCCTTCAAAAGGAGTTTTGAAAGTACCACACAAGTAGGGAAACCAGGAAAAAGTCAATTGCCCAGGGGAATGTCAACTAACTTTGTCTAATTCCACAGCTGCTGATATAATTGTGGAATAAACTCCAAACCAACAGTCCACGATAAAGCAGAGAAAAAAAACAACAGCTCTTCTCTACCTTCAAGGAAACCAGATTAAAAGAGGGCCAGAATCTGGCTAAAATCTTTATTATTTTGCCTGAAAATCCTTCAACTGGTTACTAAAAATATTATTTTTGTGAAAGGCTGCAGTAGCTAGAGAGGTAGCCCGCATTAACCATTCCTTATGGCAGTCCTGAATGAAGGGACATAACCTGTCCCTGAAGTTATGGCCATTGTCAATGCCCCTGTGGCCACGTAATGAAAAGTCGACACGCCGCACCCTGCCAGACCTTATGACTGCTCACAAGGGCACTGTGGCTCCCCCACCTGCCTCTTCCTGACCCCATCTCTGCCCTTCCTCTGAGCATGCAAAACTTCTGAAAGATCACGGGAATGGAGACCACTTGGAGAGTGGCGGAAGGCAGCCTCAATAAAGCTTTGCCACACACAGGCTGGGCACGCCTGACCATAGTTGGAAAGGAATAGCCAAAATGAGACACTTTGTGTATTAGCAGACCAAATCTCCCAACCCTGGTGGGCTGGATACAAGCTTCGTGATTCACTGGAGCATCTGCCATCCTGCATGGCCTGCCTCGGGCACCCCAGGATTTCCCCAGCCTTCCTAAGACACCCCTGGCACCTCGAACCTGGGATTCCAGGTTCCACTTAACAAGCAGACATGCTGGGATTGCAGGCTTTGAGCAATAGCACTTAAGCTTTCACGGTGCTTTCCAGCCCTCTCTAAATGGTTTACAGCCTCTTTGCCCCCAATAATTTGGCTCCTCGTTGTACCGACCTCAGAAGGATGGAAGGCTGAGTCAACCTGGAGCCTGGTGAGATTCAAACCACCAAATTGCAGGCAGATGGTACTCAGCGGAAGCAGCCCGCAGTACTGCACACTGACCACTGCGTCACCATGGCTCAAGCAGTGATCACATCCCACCTTAAGAACTGCGGCAACTACCCCCACCCATCTACCGTATTTCTATAGAGACGCAGAATACTGAAAGCGAGTGACTTAGAATAACTTCATTGCCACTTTGAATGGCCTGGAGCAATTTTGCAAGTGGCACTGGATCCTGTAATCAGCCAAAGGGCTGATGGGGCAGGCAGAGGCTCCACGGATATTTCTGTGCCCCAGTGGGCCCTGTAGCCAACACAGGCCTGGCCTGCAGAAGATTTCTGCCTGCTGGACAGCCATTGCAGCCTGCACTGGATCTCCCCCACCCCAAGAGCCCCCTCTCCAGCTCTGCTTAATAAGCACTACATCGCTGGCAGAGCCTGGACTGCAGTCGCTGAGCAAAACGGCCACCCGACCTGATTCTGAACCCAGCTGTGGTCGTAAGTCAAAGGCCACCTGTACTTATGTGTTCCACCCAATTTCCCTTGGCTAACAGAAACCAAACATCTTGGTTCTGGGTGTTTGCTTCCCTCTTGTCTCCTCCCTAGCACCTTTCCAACTAGCGTCCGATTGCACCTGAGATAAAAGGGCACCCAAAAGCACATTTTGAAAGCAAGGTTCGCCCGCACACACACACACACACACACAGAGTCACTGATTGTCTCCAATTCATATTCCCAAGTGGGCTGATGATTTGGCACGGGATACAGGCCTAAAGAGACAAGAGACATAAATCAACCTGACTTGGCGGGGCGGGGGAGGGGCTGTCAACCCCTCCAGCAGCCCCTTGGGGGTGTGGCCCCTATCCAGACTCCTTGGTGGAGACCTCCCCGTTCCTCGGTTCCTGAGCCTGGTTTTCACAGACGATGTTCAAGCAGAAAAGAAGCCTCACTCTTGCCCGGTTGGCCCACAGGCGCCTCGGTCAGCCGGAAGTGCCCACCCATTCTGCTTGCCGCTCTTGCCAGTGCCATGTTCTCCAGGGGGAGAAAGTGCATTGCCCCCCCCCGCCCAAGAATGCCCTGAGTGCCACGGCCCAGATCTTCAGCTGGGGGCCTCCAGAAGTCCTTCCCTTCGCTGGCTGTTTGCTCTGGCTTAACTGAAGATGGGTCTTGGCTAGTGATCTGGTGCTCAATCCTTGGCTTGGTCGTCTTCTTCTCCTGAAGCCAGGTCCACCCTCTGCTCATCCATGCGCTTGGCTTGGACTCGCTGGATGAGGCTGAAGAAGTCCTCATCGGGCACCGTGGGGCCACGGGGGATGGAATGGGGTGGGGCACAGCGCTGGTCATCCAGGCGGGAGGACTGCAGAAAGCAGGGTGGATAAAAATCGATGGGTTGTGGTTTTTTTTTTTTAATTAAAAAAATCCACAATATTTACATTTTCGGTAAACTCATTTAAGGAATCCAAGCCCTGCAAGCTGAGATAACATGCCCTGCATTGACGCATTCACACAGTTTCACAGGAACCATGAGATAAATTAGAAAGCAAAATGCAAGAATATTCCTTTATCCCATTGTTTTGCAAATCTATGTACGCTACAAATTGTATGGTTGTTTGGAGAGAAATGCATCTGTACCACCAGGCTCCAAGTCGGAGGAGGAAGGGCAAGCAGTAAAAATGGAAGTGAAACCTTCTAAGCAGCTTATAAATATAATATTAAAGAGCAACTGTCATTTCAGATCCATCCTGCAGACCCTGTTAGCAGGCATCCACTCAACGGCTGCTCCCAAAATCCTTCACCGTGTTGTCATTGCGACATCACCAGCCATCCCTTTCAAGGACGGTCAGTGAGTCACAACAGCGGGTCAGGGGAGGAGCCACTGCGGGACAGAGATGACAGTTGCTCTTTAAAAATCATGATTTAAACCGAGGGGATTTAAATCAAGCTTTTTTTTACTAGAGATTTAAATTGACTTTATTTCAATCAAATCCACCTGGGTTGCTCCTGATGGTAGCAGCAGGCAGGGCTTCCTTGCCAGCCAGTTTACAAGGCTGTTAGGAGATTTCAGTGTGAATCACTAAGAACTCTACACAGGGCGCTGAGCATCTTGGGAGGAAAAGCATAAGAAAAGCAGGATGGGTGTAACCTAATTTAGAGGTCTCCAACCGTGGCAACTTTAAGACTTGTGGACTTCAATTCCCAGAATTCCTCAGCCAGCAAAGCTGGGAGTTGAAGTCCACAAGTCTTCAAGTTGCCACGGTTGGAGACCCCTGGTTTAGAGGACAGCCAGTGTTTGATGTGCTAAAACTGACTAAAGGGGTAGGCAGGAGAAGCCATAAGCTCTCAAGATCTTCCCCTATGGTGGGAAAAGGATGGTCCACTCTTGCTTGGCTCCCCTAGTGGAAGACATGGTGCCCAGCCTGTGCTTAGTCCCTAGGGTTTCTGCGTTGGTATCACACCTGTTAAAGGGAAAGGTTCCTCTCGCACATCCGCCTAGTCGTTTCCAGCTCTAGGGGGCGGTGCTCATCTCCGTTACAAAGCCGAAGAAGAGCCAGCGCTGTCCGAAGACGTCTCCGTGGTCATGTGGCCGGCATGACTAAATGCCGAAGGCGCATGGAACTCACACCTGTTAAGTTCCACCAAAAGCTAAGATTTGCCCAATGCTAGATAAAAAAAAGTTAGCCACAACATCTCATGATCTGGGCCAGACTACTCTAAACAGCCATATGTCGTTTATTTCTTTACTGCAATTATATCCCACTTTGTTGAAAATGGACTATGTCGGGAGTGTCCTTCCTCCTCCTCATTTCATCTCCACCTCAACAAGAAACTAATCAAGGAGAGAAGCAACCAAGAACTAAGGAGAAATTTCCTGACAGAACAATTAATCAGTGGAACAACTTGCCTCCAAAAGTTGTGAATGCTTCAACACTGGAAGTTTTTAAGAAGAGATTTGTCAATATATTCATAAACTGGAATACAGCTTAGTAACAGGGTCAGCCAATGAGAGCGGAGTTGAGGGCTGATACTTAAAGAGAGAATCTGGGCGTGGTTTATCTTCGTTCTGTGCTCAGCTCTAAAGTGAAAGAGAAACTAACTTGCTTGCTTGTCTGCTGAACTAAAGTGAAACCAGGGTCTGTTTCTGGGCTCCTGAGTTGCTGCTCTGCCCTGAACCTGTAACATGTCTGCTTCTGTTTGAGTTGGCTCCATGTTGGAAAAATCTACAACTGGTATTGTAAAATTTACTTTGTCTTTTTATAAAGAAGTTAAATGAAGCCCCAGCCATCTGTGTTTACTTTTCTGGCGCTGAATTTACACTGCGATACTCTGAACAAGACTGGATAACCATTTGCCTGTAATGGTATAGGGTTGGAGTAGAAGACCTCTACGGTCCCTCCCAACTCTAATTCTAATTATTTTAATTCTAATTCTAATAATTCTAATTATCCTAACTCTAATTATTCTAATAATTCTAATTCTAATAATCCCTATTTCCTATCTCCTATCCTATTCTTGCCTGCAAGGTAGATTTAGCTGTAAGAAAGCAAGTGGTTCAAAATCTGCCAATGAACCCCGTGGCTAAATGAGGGCTTGAGCCCACACCTTAGCTCCAAGGCTCTACCGTTAACCCTAAAAGAATTCCATGCTCCCCTGGGGGTTATGAAGGCCTGCACAGCCCCTAAGCCCTGGGAGGTTTGGCAAAGGTTGAATTTCCTTCCCATTTGCTATTAGAATTTTCCACCAAGGATAGGAAGGGCAACCAACCCACCTGGCATTTCATCAGCATGTTGAAGAATTCGTCGCCAGGCTCTTGGGCCTCGCCGTCCATGCGAAGGTGGCCCAGGTTGCTGGGCGTGATGCGGAGCCCGGGAAGATTCCCCACGCTGGCCCGCTGGTCATCAAGCCGCCGGCTCTGGGAGCTGGCAATGAGGTCGAAGAGCTCCTCGGTCTGCGGGGAGGCCATGGACTGAGCTGGGGGAGAAACCAGATGAGGGATGAGCAAGCAAGCCAGCCCTGGAAGAACCCTTAGTTACCTGGGGTGGGGAGGTATCAGCTCAGCTCGTTCTCCTCTCTGGCAGCCTTTTGAAGATCAGGAATTACCTCCTGGACCCTTCAGGGAGTATAAATTCCACCCCCAGTGGGTTCTGCAGTACCCAACCCAGTTGAACTCCGCCTTGATTTTCATTTAACGTAAGAAAGGAGAGAGAGAACCTGGACAGACTTCCAAGAGTCTGTAGCTAGGTCTCCAATAGCTGTAACATCCCTCAAATCTATGTGATGTTTGCTCCTCAACTTGGTTTACCTCAACGGCCCTTCCTCCTTGGGACAAAGTCTGTGCCTGTCTCCTTTTTCCCGAGTCGAGGAATTGTCATCTGTCCATCACAAGGAGGCTTCCTGGCCACGTATAATTGCTGCATCCCCTAGAACAGCGGTCACCAACCAGTCAGCCAGGGATCACTGGTGGTCCGCAGAGAAATGTCTGTCCCCCACAAAGCAATTAATCCAGGCTGCGCAGGAACACAAGGCTTGCGTCGCTTGCATTGCGAACAACACGAGGTAGTGAGGGGAGGGGGGAAAGGGCAGAGGGGGGGACTTGTCCCACTTGCCCCACACGCCTGGCCTGGCCACCGGGCTGCTTCTTTCCGCTTCTTCTGCTTTTGGCTGCACACAAGGAAAGCAGCAGAAGTCTTTCTTTCTCTACCCCAAACTCTGCCAGAAATGAGTCTTTGGGACCCTGCAAGGCCTCCTGCTCCAAGATGCTGCAAAGACTCATTTCTGGCAGAGTTTGGGGGAGAGAAAGAAAGACTTCTGCTGCTTTCCTTGCATGAAGCCAAAAGTCTCTCTCTCTCTCTCCCCCGACTCCCCTAGAACGGAGCTGGAGACGGTATCCTAAACGGGGCGGGAAATTTTTTTTATAGAAAATAAAAAATTGGGAGGGATTTTCCCAGGGTCTCTGCTGCTTTCTGCGGAGACCCTGGGAAAACGTCAGCAAGCCACCATCAGTCAAAATTCATATTAGTGGTCCACGGGATTTAAAATTATGAGCTTGGTGGTCCCTGAGGTCCAAAAGGTTGGTGACCCCTGCCCTAGAAAGTTGCTGTGTATCTGGGCAACAACCCAGCATGGGACATGAAGCAAGCAAGGCCCAGGGAAGCTGAGGGCAGATTCGACAGCTTTGCAGCTGTAATATTAACAGATTAACAGAGTTGGAAGGGACCTTGTAAGTCATCTAGTCCCGTCACTACCAGCCCCCGCCCAAGAGGGAGACCCTACACCTTTTCTGAGAGATGGCAGTCCAGTCTCTTCTTGAAAGCTTCCAGGTGAAGCTCCCACAACTTCTGAATGCAAATTTTGTTCCATGGGTTGGTGGCTCTCAATGTCAGAAAATTCCTCCTTATTTCCAGGTTGAATCTCTCCTTGTTCATCTTCCATCCATTATTCCTTGTCTGGCCTTCAGGTGTTTTAGAAAATAGCTTGACCTCCTCCTCCTCTCTGTGGCAGCCCCTCAAATATTGGACGATGCTCTCCTGTCTCCCCTGGTCCTTCTCTTCCCTAGACTAGCCAGGCCCGGTTCCTGCAACCATTCATATGTTTGTGCCTCCACTCCCCTCATCATCCTGGTTGCTCTTCACTGCCTTCTTTCTAGAGTCTCAACCTCTTTTTTATAGTGTAGTGACCAAAAGTGGACGCAGTACTCTAGGTGTGGCCTTACTAAGGCTTTGTGGAGTGGTAGTAGTACCTCCCTTGATCTTGACTGCATCCCTCTGTTAATGCAATTTAGGATTGCATTGGCTTTTTTGGCTGCCGCTGCACATCGTTGGCTCGTACTTAATTGGTTGTCCACTAAGATCCCCAAGATCCCTCTGGGAGTTACTGCTTGGCCACCTTACCCTTCCTTAGTAAGATTGGCCCACTTACTTTGTGCCTCTTCCCGGGCAGGGACAGGGGTAGCCGCTGCTTCATCCGACTCTCTCTGGGAGTCTTCCAGAGGGCAGCGCTGGTCTTCCATCCGGTTGCTCTGGAATTTGCTCAAGAGGTCAAAGAAACAGTCCTCACTGGAAGGGGCTCGCTTGGTTTTCTGCAACGATGAGGGCCATGACATTAAAAGAAAGGAGATGGTTGCCCATCTCTGAACATCACCACACCTCATGGTTAGGTAAAAGTAAAACTGGGTTGGATTTCTCCCCTCTGCCAGCTCAGAGAAAGATCTTAAGGAGTCTTAATTTCTAGCTTTGCCTTATTTCTTTTTAACCCAATGATGTTTATTTCTTTGAAATAAAAGTTAAAATGGAAAACTCAAAAAAAAAATAAATCGAAACTTAAAAACAGCAAAAAAAAAAAAAAATCCCCCCAAAATACAAAACATACAAGATGTTGAAAAGAAATGTGCATTAAAAAAAACCCAACATATCTACACCTATTGGCCCCCACCCCAGTTGAATACTGATTAATACATTGCTACAATATAGTACAATATTACTACTTAATACATTATATCAAAATGGACAGTCTCACACACACACACACACACACGAAGGAATATATGTATGTTATACAGCATGTATATGTATGTTATGCCTGTATTTGGGTACACTTTCTCAAGAGCCGGCAACAGAGTTTCATTTTTAATGTGAGTCAGTGTACTCCCAATAAAAAAATGACAATAAAGTTATCTTATCTCTTTAGATTAGATTACATTAACAGAGTTGGAAGGGACCTTGTAGGTCATCTAGTCCAACCCCCCCCCGCCCAAACACCATTTCTGACAGATGGCGGTCCAGTCTCTTTTAATCCTCCCCTCATTCCTCCTGGTTGCTTTTCTATATTCTTTAAATATAGGAAAAGTAGGAGTTACAACTTCTCTTTTCTTTACAACGTCCAAGAGTAAGCAGACACGCCTGCAGGAAAAGGGCTCTCAAAATCACTCAGGAAAACAACAACAACAACAGAGAATGCATGATTTCAGAGCTGTGAAATGTTTCCTGCTTCTCTGGCCCTGAATTTCTTTCAACTCCACGCCAGAGAGAGTTAAACTGTTTTCCCTTCTTCAATAGACAGTTTCACAGCCATGTCACCTGCTGGTTATAAATACTGTTCCTGACAGTAAACTGTCTCCCCCCCACCCTGAAAACACACACACACACACACACACACACACACACAAACCCCTCTAGTTTGTGGCTTCCACAATAATGTAAAGTTAGCTTTCCACCTTATGGTGCTGGGAAGAAAAGAAAACAAAAGAGGAAAAAATACCCCCAAGACATGGAAAGGCTGGGAAGGGAAAGGGGTCCATCTTCCCAAAGTCGTATTTAGAAGCAGTCTAAAATTATTGGCTGAGATTTTAAAAGCTGCCTGCCTGGTAGGGCCAGAAGGAGGACACAGCACGTTCCAGGCGGGTGTTTTGCTCACTGAAATGATTTATAAACCGCGCGCCCAAATTAGCCATATTACAAACCTTTTCTCGGATTCAGAACAGTTATTCCTGCCTGCAAACATAAGACAGAATAGGAACAGTCCTGGAGCGGAAGGGACCCTGGAGGTCTTCTAGTCCAGCCCCCGCTCAAGCACCCTATACCTTTCAGACAATGGCTGTCCAGTCTTTTCTTAAATACCTCCAGCGATGAAGCACCCACAACTTCTGAAGGCAAAGCTGTCGAATTGTCAGCTAGTGTTTCACGATAATTTAAAGACCTATGGACTTCAACCCCAGAATTTCCCTGCCAGCAAAAAAAATAAAGAGAAAACCCTCCAGAAAAACAACCATTTTGTTCTTCAGGTGCATCTAACCTGGGGCAAGTTGTGGTCAGCCCCTTGTCTAGTCTATAAGCCTCTGGCAGCCTGGGTGAGGAATGGGGAGAGCCAGCTTCCAGTCCTCCCTTCAACCACAGAAGCTTCCTGGGTAACATTGCTTCAGTGGATTGTCTCAGCCCAGCCCACCTCACAAGGGTGTCGTCTTGGCCGGGAGGGGGGTTGGGGGGGGGGAGCCAGATTTTTCTAAGCTTTACCAAAAGGGAGGTGAGGAGGGCCGAGACTTGCCATACTTCAGGGGGCAGAGGGGATGGCATGCAACCAGGATGAGGGCAGGGGCTGCCATGGAAAAGATACCCTTCCCTCCAATTTAGGGCAGGGGATCGGCAACCTTAAACAAAGAGCCAACAAGGTCCTAACCGGAAGGTTTCCCCCCCCCACCCCAGTTCAATTCTGGAGCTGACCAGACTCTATGGCGGTTCCCCCACCATAGAGCCTCCTCCTAGCGCAGCACCCTTTCCCCTCTATCCTAAGCAAAAGCCCTATCAATTGTGGAGGGATGAAAGAGCCCCATGCGGCTCCAGAGCTGCAGATGGCTGACCTCTGATTTAGGGGAAGGGGCTAAGCTCAGGCCCACCCTGCTTGACCTGGTGGATATTAGGGAAAAGTGGGCTCTAAAAGTGACAGCCAGCACCTTGAGTGTCACCCAAGAAAGAAACTGCAAGCCAGGGGGTATGTTAAAAAAGTCTCTCTCTCTCTCTCTCTCTCTCTCTCTCTCTCTCTCTCT